GTCCGAGGTGAGACTCGCAAAGTGAGTGGGGTGGGAGGGGGGCTGTGTGATGAGCCTGAGCTCGAAAGGGGGTTGGAGGCGGATGGGCGGAAAGGGGGTGCGGAGAGCGGGTGTGGTAGGGAGTTATGTGTGGTCGGACAATGACGAGACGACCGGCTCGTCGGGAAGATGTTACGCAATTATGTGGTCCTTTGTTGACTGGTCGCATCCTCACTCGGCGAACGGTTGAAGCAGGTGTGCCAATTAGGCAGTGGAGCCTGTGCTCCGGTCCGGCAAGGATAGGACACACAAATGCGGCCAAGGCATCCTCAGAAGAGGGGCAGAAGAGACGAACAGGAAGAGGCAAGATGGAGGACTTCGTCCTCGGGCGGGTCGGGCTGAAGTTGAAAGGTGCAAGAGCACCAAACCAGACTGATTGCGCCAGTTTGCTCTTCAAAAAGACGGGATTTGCATGAAACCGATCCCCTCGACTGTAGACGAGGCCGACAACTGTGGATGAGATGAACGGAAAGTGTGTCTGCTCGATTTGTTGCCTCGTTCAAATGTGTATTTGCTATGCCGTAAAACTGAAGCATTAAACATTCATAAATATAAATGAAGTTTTGTGCACCCTATTTCGTCTGAGATGATGAATGACTGGTTGTTGAATTTTCCCACAATGATATGAGTAGGGCTGACATTTCCATAGAATTTCGCATAGTCTTGCTTTCACAAGCGACGTTTTCATCAATGATGTAATGCAGTTTCAACCTCGCCCGGCGGGACTCGAACCATGCCAATGCAGCGTGTAAACTAGGCCCGTCAACCGCTACGCCACATTCCCACGAGTGCCCTTGGGTCAGAGGGCATATGCGAATTTCAAGGAAGGCCAGACATTTTCCCATATCATATTCTTTGGTGGAGGTGCCGATGAAGCAAATTTATGTTCCTATGACAACCGACTGCACTACTTACTTTTCGTTCATAAGTAGAGTATCGGGACTACCAGTAAATCATAATGAGAACAAGGCCATGCGAAATTAAATGGGAATGTCAGCTCTATTCATACCACTTCATCATCTTAAACGAAAGAGGGTGAATACAGCCCATATAACTGAATTAGTGATTGTCTCTAAACCCTACTTATGAACGAAGATTAAGGAATATAGACTGACGAGTTATGATTGCTGGTCTTGTAGCCTGACTTGAACGCGTATAGGCTCACATCTTATAATTTCAATCAGAATTACTTTCGTGCTCACGCAAAATTGGCCATACATTTTCATGGGTCATTAAATCCTGATGACCCGAGCCTAAATTAAGGCTTTTTGTAATTACCGATATTGCTTATTCTGATTTAAGCGCATACGGGCCTCAGCAAACATACACACATACATACTCACTCAAGTATAAATACCCTGATTAAGATGGTAGATAGCTAACCAAACCCTTCGATATCTATTAATGTCTGTATATTATCACTTTTAGTTGAGTATATATTCGACGTAAAATAGACGAAGGAAATGCGGGTTTCCAAGATAAGATTGTTTTGAAGGCTTTACTTTCGTATAAAAGTATTCGTTGAAGAGATTCGTAGGTCACTCTCTCTACAAGACGCCGACTGATTCGCGTTGCAGCTACGCCGTCTTTGCCCTAATACGACGTTCAGGCTTATGCAATCCACTAGAGAGACTCTAAAATTTCTGGTGAAAATGAGCTCAGCTTTCGTTCGTCATACAACGAACACCGTCAGAACTGGGACCCCTTTTCGCATAAACCTCAAGTTAACATTAAGCCAAGAATATGACATGTATTCACCCGATTTCGTTTAAGGTAATGAAAAACTGATATAATAATTTTCCCACAATGATATGAGTAGATCTGACGTTTCCATTCACTTTCACATAGCCTCGCTTTCACAAAGGTTGTTCTCATTCAGGGTGGACTGCAGTTTCGACCTCGCATCGGTCTTATCAACACCCTTAGCGGGATTCGAACCGTGACAATGCAGATTGGGAGCTTGACACGTTGACCACTCGGCCGCATTGCCACGAAGGCCAGGCCTTTTGTCATATCATATTCTTTGTTGGGATTGTCGATAAAGCAAACGTATATTTGCTATAACAATAGACTACGTTACTTCATTTTGGTATTTAAGTAGAGTTTCGAGACTACCAGTAAATCAGTAATATAAGATGTATTCACCCAGTTTTGTTTAAGGTGATGAAGGACTAGTAAAAGAAGAAGAAGATTGACCTGTTATTTCTTATATCATATAATATATGCATTGCAAGAAAAATTTAAATATAGATGGATATACAAAGTTTTGATTACTACATTTATAATCGAGTGTGTACATATACGTATTTGTTCTCCTGGATCATTAAGCTTTGATGGATCGTGGCTGGTTTTAAGCTTTTGTCTAAAAATTGACTTATCATCGGTCTTGCGTACAAAACGTTAACACAGACACATACAGACATGCTCGAGTTTAAACGAAGAAACAAAGCCTTTTTGTATCAATCTATATCTAAATTTTTCTCGCAATGTATATAGGTATATATAGATATATATTTATCATATAGGAAAAACGGGTCTGTCTTCTTGACTTGAAGCTTTTGTCAGGATAAGTCCTAGCTCTGACGATGCTCGATGTATGACGAAAGAAAGATATGCTTATCTTTGTCTGAAAGTTTGGATGATGCCTCATGGACTTCATCTACCTGAACATTGTATTAAGGTCTAGCGGCTGCATTACAACGTGAACCAGCCGGCGTCTTCTGGTATGATCAACCAACTGATCTCTTCAGCATGTACCTTCATACAAAATGAAAACCTCCCCAAAAATGCTATTGTAATAAATTCATCAAAAGCCTATTTAGTATTCAAATCTACATTATTTATATTTGGTTTGAATAGGTCTCGAAATGCATCAATAAATTGTGCTTATTCAAGATCTTCTGGTAATTCCGCAGCCTACTCAATTGGAACATAAATAGGGTAGGAAGGAGCCCAGTCACCTTTTAGTTTAAAGTTTGGTGAAGTTGGTGGAGTTTTCTTGACTCGTTAGCTTGAATCTGATTGTGAAGATGATACCTTGTTCTGATGCTGTTTGTCATATAACGGACGAAAGCTTAGCACATTTTCACCGGAATCGAAGGAGGTTTCCTCGGAAACAGCGTCAACATGAATATTCCAGTAAAGCGAAACAACAGCTGGTCAAGAGGAATCCGCCTTCGTCTTCTGGTAGAATCGACCTTCGAATCTCTTAACGGAACACATGCACTCGAAATGGAAGTAAGCTCATCAATTATGAAACAATAGCTTATTCTAAACCCAACTTTCCTTCGCATAAGTAGAGTAGTCAGTTGTAGTAGTAGATACAAGATTGCATTATTGACAATCCCAATCTGAAAAAGCTGTATGGAAAAGGCATGGCTTGCTTTGCAATTTCATCTGCCCTGTGACCCACTGGCGACTGTAGCAGTGAGGGGGTCGGTGACATGCCAAAATTTTGCGTTGCATTATCCTTATTCGATGATCGTTGAGGGTGATTATAGGACATAAAGGAGGTCAAACCTACAGTTCAGTATATACTGAATAAGAATAAAGGGTAAAATTCAAAGCTTCATAATACATATCAATTTAAGCATAAGATATATTCACCATATTTGATTTAAGGTGATGAATGACTGGAGGTCGAACTTTTCCACAGTGCTATGTTTAGACCTTGCGTTTCCACAGAAGTTCGCATAGCCTGGCTTCCCAAAAGTTATTCCCATCCAGGCAGGAGTTGACGGCAGTTTTACCTCCACCTAGGCCTTAGCAACACCCTCAGTGGTACTCAAACGTTGCTTGTTGTAGGGCAGTGCATGTTCTCGACATGTTACCAACTACACTACATTGTCACTAGTGCCCTCGGGTCAGAGGGCAGACAGGAATTTCAAGGAAGCCCAGCTCTTTCCTATATCACTTTTAGTAGAATACTTATCGATGAAACAATGTTGGATTTGCAATTGCAATCGACTATTTTACTTACTTTCCGTTTATACGTTGGTTTACGAGACTATCTGTACATCAAATATCTAAGAGCTGTATTCGAATACTTCTGTGGTTGCTGATGAGACCGACTTAGGCGAGGTCGAAACCGCAGTCCATTTCTACCCAAATGAGAATTCCTTCTTGACAGCAATGTTATGTAAGATTCAATGTAAACATGAGACCCACTCATATGATTGTGGAATAATTCATCTACCAGGCCTTCATCACCTTAAACAAAATATGGTGAATGCAATTCAAATATATGGTCTACTAAAATTGATGAAAATTAAAATACCTTTATTGCCTCGTGCCACCTAAGGTTGAATTGAGCTTTAATTCCAGTTCCACCGCTAGTTTCGAAGCCCAATTAATCTGATCATTTCAAGCTCATTGTCTTCGTCTAATTCGACAGAGCTAAAGTCCTATGGTCTAAGATATAATGGGTTTGCTTGCGTGCCTTCTCATCCAAGGTTCGCAGCCTGTTTGGGAGCAATGAGGTTCGATTGCGATTATGCTACCCTTTGCCTTTTTAGAGGCAAAGTTACAATTCAGAACTAATTCCTTATTTTACCCCAAACATACGCCATCTACTCCTTTAACATCAAACCAGACCGGTGCCTAGATGCGAGCTCAAAATGGGTTAACTATTTTTGTTATGCATATGCGATTACCATAGATCATACTGTACATAAAGATTAGGTTAAAAAATGAGACTTTCAGACATAAATACCAATAAAATGTTGCCTTAGTACTCGTCGCGGACTTCTTTAGTTGTATCGGGTTGATATGACAACGCTTTCTCAGCTTGATTGTTCGTGAAAATAAACCTAGTACTGCTTATTTTGACAATAAGGTAATGATATTTTTCAGCATTGAACATTTTGGCGAAGTGCACTCTCAGACGAGTTTGACTTGATGCTAGAAGAGTGATGCCGCTCTTCCTGAAGATGCTGATCAACTACGATCTCGGCAAAAGGACTGGAAACGTACCGGGTCAATCGGCCGATGCTTGAAGTTAGCATAATTGCTAAAGTAGAGGAGGCAGAAATTGGTACGCTCCACAAGGTCTGCTTGTAAACTAGAACATGATCGGATGATTTACATAGAAATAAACTG